ATATAATCACATTACTATTAAAATTTTATAATCACATCTTTTTTATGTAAAACAAACAGCGTGATTATAGAGGAGGACGACTGTATCAGAAATACAATATAATTATATACATAACAAAAGAGTATATAGTAAAGTGATATAGTACAAAACCAAATTAAAACAGATATATAAAAATTATTATAGTATATACAATCTGTAAGAGCTTTTACCCTAACTCTGTTAAAAAAGCTGTGCATATTTTGAAGTTGACATATAAAGTATACTATTATCACTTACACTAGTCGAAATAAGAAAATTCGGCACTACTAATTTCGTAAGCAAATCGGCATTGTACACCTTAAATCGTACACAAATCGGCATATGCCAAAATCTGTGGTCTGGATCAATAAGTTTATTGAACACCCTATAGGTGCGTTGACACTGTAATGTCGACATTCTATTTCACTTTTTTTTTTGGTAAGACATATGAGGTCTTTGCCTTGAAAATCACCTTTCGACATTTTTGATCGGGTTAATTCAGACATAAACAAATCCGTATATTAGTTCACATTTATATTTGAATCTCTTTTTGCCTTTATTGATTCGAAACTTTATTCTTGAACCATAAAGACAAAAGGGGATTACATATAAACATGAGCTAATACACAGCTTTGTTTTTGTCCGAATTAGCCCGATCGGAATTGTCGGAAGGTGATTTTTAAGGCAAAGACCCCATATGTTTGGCATTTTTTCGATGATCCTTTTCGACAAGACATTTTCCCGACGATCATTTCCCGACATATAATTCTAACTCTAAATCAGGCCAGCGCTAATGCTAAATCGGGCCAATTTTATGTTGAAGGGGAAATGTCTTGTCTAAGAAAAGTAAAGTGTTGTCGAAAACATGTATGTCGAATATACGTCTTATCGAAAAAATGTACTTAAGACGAAATAGCATGTGGCATTGCGGTGAAGTGAATAACTTTCGGGGCATTGAGCAACAACGGTGTATTGCGGAGTCAATGTGTATTTTACTTGCAGTGTCCGTGAAAATGTACTATGGGAACATTGTTGTAATACAATAACAGGTACATATGTAAGTTTTTTAGCTTTTATAACGTCCGTAGGAGAACTTACTTTCAGTCTCAAGTAATAGTGACATGTGATATTTATTAAGATTTTTTGATTTAACAAAAAAGAACTTTAATAGAGGATATTACAGTCAAACCTTAGTTATATCACCTAAATTATATCTCAACCTATGTTATATCCTAATATTTTGGATATAACTGAGGTTTTGTATTTAGGTCTGTACAAAAGTCACAAGAATACGTTATATTAATTTAAAAAAAACTTTTCAGTCTAATTTTTAAAGTGAACCTTCACGATCAATCAAACTAGTATCACTTTCATTTAAGAAAGAATTGGTATCATCAACTAGCATGTGAAATACTATCATCTCCATTTTAGGACTTTTCAGCAACTAATTCTTTAAGAAAATCAGAACTAAAATCATTTTAAAGATTCAAATTTCTTTTCCATTTCTTCAAATTTCTTTTTCATTTCTTCTTTTTCTTTTTCATATTTCGTTTTCATTTCTTCATGTTTCTTTTTCATTTCTTCTTTCTCTTCTTCAAATTTCTTTTTCAATTCTTCTTTCTCTTCTTCAAACTTCTTTTTCAATTCTTTTTTCTCTTCTTCAAATTTATTTTTCGTTTCATCTTTTTTTTCTTCAAATTTATTTTTCATTTCATCTTTTTCTTCTTCAAATTTATTTTTCATTTCATCTTTTTTTCCTTCAAATTTATTTTTCATTTCATCTTTTTCTTCTTGAAATTTCCTTTTCATTTCATCCTTTTCTTTTTCATGTTTTCTTTTCAACTCCTCAAGTCGTTGTTCTAATTCTGTGCTCTTTTCATAATTTTTTTTTTCATATATATTTTTCAATTCATTTTTTTCTGCTTTCAATTCATCCTTTTCTGCTTTCAATTCTTCTTGTCGTTTTTCCAAATCTATGGTTTTTTGTAGTAGTCTAGAAAATGTTGAAATGGTTTTCTCACTATTAAGACTCATTTTTACGTTAAAGATGTTATTTAATGTTTAATATGCAAGCGAATGTAACAATAAGACAATAACGGTAAAATGATCACTTTTATTTAAGAATGGGTGTCACAATATCGATACTATATATGCACATAATCAGAAGTAGAGATTGGGCCCAAGTGAGCGCAACCCGATTATATGCTCAAATTTTTAATTTTAGTTAGTGTATTTCTTATTTTAGTATAGTTTGTGGTACGTTGGGTGATTAAAGCTCCAAACGACTGATTAAATCCCCAAACGACTGATTAAATCCCCAAACGACTGATTAAATCCCCAAACGACTGATTAAATCCCCAATCGAATAATTAAAGTTCCAATTGGCTGATTAAAACCCCCATACGAATTAAAGATATATAAAGGCGTAGTTTCAGATTATGTGGAGGGAGGACAATTACGAACGATTGTTAACGGTTATTAATAGTATTTAGTATTATTGTAATATTCCGATGTATTGATTTATGTTAATAAAGAGAAACCTTAATCTGTAATTATGTGTGTTAGTTTATCGATTTAAACCATTTAACCTTAATCACTATTTGTTCACGATCAAAGCTATCAAGCTCTCCCACCGGTCGTAACACCGGGTTATCCCTGGAAAATATGCACCAGGTTTGGATCGGATGATAGTCCGGCAAGCTAAGTCGGAACGGTATGAACAGTTGGAATTAGAAACAAAAATTACGTACATGCGTACGTTGTGAAGGTGACCGAATCATAAAATATGGGTCTCACGGATATCAACAAACACTAACACTATCTAACCTAAAAACTAATAGTGCCAGGCTACGTATGATCAAGGCGTGGTGTCCGAGTGTTAGATTAGAGCTCTAGATTACCTCACGAGGCTCTAATTCTGGGTCACAGAATTGTAATATTCACTTATCGGGAAATTAGAGCAAATACCTATACGAATGAATGGTTAAAACTCTATTGAGTTCTACCAACTCTATCTGTGTTACCGTATTACCGCGAAATAACGCGCAGGGGTGAAGATTATGAATTCCAGCCTAAATTAAGCTTAATTCGGGCCGATCCTCGAAATAACGCCCATGATCGTTATTTCGCGGTAATACGGTAGCTGTTTATTTAAGCGAAAAGGCAGGTTCGCTTTTAAACTATTCTTACAATTGACGAAATGTACGAAATGAACCAGTTGTATGAATTTTACTTAATGAAGTGGCGAATTGAACTAACTGAACGAAAAATCTAATATTTGAGGTCTATCGAAATACATACAACGTATAACTAAAACTCTTATAATCAACTAAAAAAACTAATGACTAAAATAAAATAATAAAATAGAAAACTAGCCACACCGAAGCCCTTCACAATGTACGATCGTCTAGTTAATAAAATAAAATTACGTATTGTCATTAGTTTGTCATTATTTAAATTATAATAAGTCAATCATGATTTTCGTTTTTCCGCAAAAGAAAAAGCGATGCAAAATTTGTTATAGGCATGTATTTAATATTATAATCTGTTATTTCGCTAATTGCACACACCAAATTAAGACTTAGATAACCATCGAATATATCAAATCTACCTATGCCGCTTCGACAAATACTTTGTCAGTTTATGAGCTACAAGAAGAAAATTCTAATGGTCACATGTGAAAATAAGCAATGTTCAGCCGTCTAAAAAAGGTATTTAAATTAGGTCGGTTGGTATATTCTTTAATATTTAACAATTCATATAATTCAGAATTTATTTAATAACTACGTAGCAACGAAAATATATTAAGTCAATGTAGATACCAACCTTGAGCTTTTGTTATGCCATCCAGATATTGTTTCAAAGATCTTTTCCAATTGAAATTTGACAGAAACATTCTTAAACTGACAGTCGATCCAAATCTATAAAAAATTTAATAAAAAAATTACCAACTAAAGACCTTCACAGATTATTGCTAAATTAATGACTCATGATTATCACGATATACACGTATCTGAATGGTAAATCGTGATTTTTACTTTCTTCATAAATGTTTTTTGGCACGATTCATTACTAATTATGCTATCGATCTTGCAAAGGCTATAGAATATAATACAACCAGGGTTGCAGGTGGTAAATTTACCATGGTTAATTACGGTAAGTTACCAGGTAATTTGCCAAAGGTGTAGTAAATTTACCTTTATATACTTAAGGTTGAGTTTGTCTATGTAATTTGATTGGCCAAAAAAAAAGTTTAATAAACAAACCACATGATTTTATATTACATAAACCTTCTTAAGAATAACTAATGGTAAATTTACCAGTAATTTACCAAACTGCCTGGTAAATCTACCAAAAAATTTTAAAATTTATGGTAAATCAACAACCCTGAATACAACATTATACTTTCCAGGACCCATCCAAACTTCACCGATTTCAATAATATAGGCTGGTGCAAAAGATTTAAAAGATTTGTACATCAAACAGCTATTATTAAAATTTTTAATTTTCTTAATTAAATATAATCATTAAAAATATAATTAATAATAGTTTTTTTTAAATATGGGGGTGAGTCAATAGAAATACACCAAATTTTTTTCCAAGTAAATTTTTTTAAAACTTCATCAACATAATCAAATCTAATAAATTTTTTTAAAAAAATTTTTTACTAGGTTTTGTATTTTTGTTTAAAATTTAAAAAAATTTCATTAAAAAAGATTTGGTGCATTTCTGCTAACTCACTTTACTATATAAATTTACTAGTAACTTATATATAACTTATGTGTATATAGTAAAAAAAATTGAATTATCTAACTTTAAAACTTAATTTCTTTAGAATTAATAATTATATATATATTTATTATATGCATATTACAGCGCTTTTCAATTTACTGTGATCATCAAAATTGGCATTTTGATATTCATAACGCCTTATAAATTAAACTTTTCTTAAACTTTGAACGAAGATATCTCGACAACCACCAGACAAAATTTAATGAACTCTTATTTCTTTGAATTCCAACGATACGTAGAATTCAAATAAAAAAAAAAGTTCACCAAAATTGGATTGATGTTATCGAGAAATATTCGCTCAAAGTTTGATAAAAATTTCAGCGCAGCTTCTATTTGACTTGGGTTTTTTAAAACTTTAGACGAAGATATCTTGGTAACCACCGGGCCAAGTGATGAACTTTCTTTATTGAATTTTATGGATTCGTAGAATTCAATAAAAAAACGTTTATTGAATTTGGTTTAGTAGGTTATGAAATATCTTCACTCAAAGTATGAAAAATTTTGGCGCACCATCTATTTTGATAGACGGTTTGAGTTTTTTGAAAAACTTTGAGCGAAGATATACATGACGAATACCAAGCCAATTCTGTGATCTTTTTTTTTTTTTGAATTCTACAGATTTGTAAAATTCAATGTACATATATATAATTATTAAATTTTGATTAGTATTTGATGAGATATCCTTGCAAAAAAAATTTGAAATTTGAAATTTGTCACAGCTTTTATTTTGATAGACGTTGGGATTTTAAACCTTTGAGTGAAAATATCTTGACAATCATCAAGCCAAATTTGATAATCTTTTTTTTTATTTGGATACTAAGGATACCTGGAATACAAAAAAAAGAAAAAAATTTCATTGAATTGGCTTGGTGGTTGTCGAGATACTTTCGCTCAAAGTTTGAAAAATTCTGTCGCAACTTTTATTTGAGAATTTTGTAAAATTTTGAAAGAATATATGTCTGCACCACCAAGCCAAATTCGATAATTTTTTATTTATTTGAATTCTAAAGATTCGTAGAATTTAAATAAAGAAAAGTTCATCGAATTTACTTGGCGGTTGTCAAAATTTTTAATAAATATGATACAAAAAAGGACATAAGATTTTCCGTATTATTTAGCTAAAAAAACAACCAGTTCATGTATATTTCTTGAAAAAGCGGAATTTTTTTATTTGTTGGCAAGAAATTTGGATTTATTTGCCTTAAATTATCGTTTGATGATCACAGTAAATTGAAAAGCGCTGTAATATACTTGCGTATTACAGACAGACTTATAAAACTATATATGAGTGTGAAAATACTTAAAATATTTTTTAAAAAAAAGCTTTTTCATTTTTTTTAAATTTAAAAAATTATACTTCATTAACTATTAAAATAAAACAGTAATAAAATAATAAAAATAATATAAAAGTTAAATCAAAAGCTACTTTAATTTAATCTAAAAAATTTTTAAATAAATTAAAAATTTTTATCTGGTATTAAAATTAAAAAGTTTTTTATTGGCCCATATTGTTTATACCACGTCATTATAACAAGATCACAGTTTATAAATCACTTACACATTAAACTCTAAGTGTATAAGCGAAAATAAAATTTTCACTTATATCAATTACAACCAGAGTACAATTTATAATTATAAAAAAGAAATAGTGATTATCAAAACATTGATTACCCTTTGGTTTTCATACGAGACCAATTTAAATGGAGGCTAAATAGCGATAGCGATGGAATGTTAAAATTCTAGATTGGATTTGATAACCCCAGCAGGTAGGCAATAATTTTCACAAGTACAGTATTCAACTCTCTTTTATTGGTATATGAAGCTAATATTATGCGCCCAACCTATTACCTTGGTAGTATACCGCTTTTATGACGAAGAAATGCAACAGAGCAAACGTTGTGAGTGCATGGGAAGAATGTAGTAACTCATAGGATGAGGAAAATGCATATAGAGAGTGCCTTTTTATGCCAATAAAATAACAATTTCACAATATCCTTGAATTCTAATTAATAAAACTCTAATGGCCCATGAGTGTTGCTCGAGCTAAATTGCGTAATTGCTCTTCCAACAAGCTGTGACACCATTTTACATAACGAAAACGTGCAAGACAACATGTGACTTACAAATTCTCAATTATCTTTATATTGGCAATAACATATCGGTAATTTTCGGAATTAGGTCTAAATTAGGTTCACTGGATTTAACAATTACAGGACGCATAGTAGCTAGAAATTTGGGTCCGCTTTATAGCCACATTTTAAAATTTAAACATATTATATCTATTTTAATGTATATACTGTAAATTTAAAATAAGTAGAAAAAAATAGACTCGGGATTGCGTGAAGTATTGCATGATTTAGCCACTGTAAGTGCATATGATTCTTGGCATTATTCTATATAAATTCTAGTTCCTATTGAGGTTGATAATTTAAGAAATTGATTTACAATGTGCTATCAGTTTATGCATTATTTTATAGAGGGATTGGGATTTTTAACTTCATGCATAGTACGTACCTCCTGTATCGAATTTACTCGCATTCCTGTATAGATAGTAGAAAAAATTCAAAAGCAATTTAATACAATAATTATCAAGTGATATTGTTGCAATTTCCTTTGTTGAATTTCACCCCCATTTATTCCGATAATAAAAGTAAATTCTATAGCTTGGTAACGTTCCAGTTTCACAAGTTCCAGTCTAGTTATAATGAATTTCACTGCTGCAGCATATTTGTAACACTATTGAACCTTACCTTTTCACGCAAATATTCGATTTTAATTGGATAATAGCCATGATTTACGAAATTGTGATTTTGGTAAATTTACGGCCGAAATTTTTGATCGCCACTCTAAAACAATCATAGTTAATAGTGCTACAGCACTTTGAAGGTTACACGCTAACGTTAGCAATGCAAATACGCCTGCCTGCATTATTAACAATATTAAATCAGGTATGTACGTAGTACGTAAGTTTAATAATTTTATACGTAACATCCGTGTGCATTATTAATATTATTAAATCAGGTAAGTTTAATAACTTTAAATTTCGGTATTATTAATAGAAAAATGCTTTAATAATGACATTTGTATTTAAATAAACTAATATTTAAGAAAAAGTTGTGCCACCCATTTTATTATAAATGTCGCTACTCAAAAGCATTAAATCACAATATAACTTACATTCTAATAATTCTAGCTCATTTATCGCTTTCTTCAGCTTACATATTAAATATAAGAAGGATTGTTATCGTTCATTTTATCGTTGCCTTTAGCTTGCATATTAAAAACAAATAGTTCTTTTACTTTTTAACGTCAAAATGAGTAACCCTTCTATTACTAACGAAAAGGCTGTTGGAACATTTGCTAAACTAATACAAAAAACCGTGGAATTAGAAAGACAACTTCACGAATTAAAAGCAGAAAATAAAACTTTAAAAGAAGAAGTTGATAAACATAAATCAACCCATGAAGAATTAAGATCAAAACATGAAGAAGAAAAAGCGAAAATTAGAAATGATCATGAAAATGCGAAAGAACAACATGAAAAAGATAAAGAAGATCTTAGAAAAAAACATGAAGATACGAAAAAAACACATGATGAAGAAAAAGAAGACATGAGAAAAAACCATAATCAAGAAAAAGAAGAAATGAGAAGTAAACATAATCAAGAAAAAGAAGAGATGAGAGAAAACTTTAAAAAAGAAACAGAAGAACTAAAAAATAAAAATCAAGGCTTAGAATTCCTTGCCGAATTAGTTACACAAGCCAACCATGTCCTTGATAATACTCATCATTAGGTGGTAGTAATTAAAAAATAGGCTAAAAAATATTTTAAGATATTTTTTATGAGTGTCTTTTTTTTTATAATGCAAAAACATTGTTCTTAATCCACCTGACCCAATTTCTTGAACCGCCCTGAACATACATATATATATTCGTCTTTGACCCATATATAATTTATCTAGAATGCTTATCGTTGTGACTTGTATGAGTTGCAAACTGATTTTTTAACGTAAATATTTATTGTTTTAATCTAAAGATTGTACTAGTATCGTAATTTCTTTCATGATTTACTATAAAAATACTGTTACGAACCTATTCAACACATAAGTACAAAAACAAACAATTACGCAACCAGACTTACTGTATATTTAAGTCGAAAAATTACCAGTTATTTAAAATTTGTCTTAGCAATTGTATAAATAAATAAATAAAATGTTTGTTTTTTAACCAAAATAAGTAGTCAGTATATTTAATAAGTTTCATGTTGCGTAGTTCTTTAATTGATTACATGATCAAACTATGTTACATGAAGGCATAGACAAATAGTGTCGTAAGATATGAATCGCACAAAGTCATTATTCATAAATGAGGGTGTAATCTAACTTCCAGTAAAGGCTGATGGAAAGGTCTTATAAACATGTAGGAGTCCCGCAGCCAAGACTTAACAAATATAATTTAATACAAGCATCACTTCTCTTTCCTTACTAACAATAGGTTAGGGTTAAGTTCAGTTACGACTATAGCCGATTATAGTCGACTATTAGATATTTAGCCGACTGACGGTTTAGCTGACCGACTAAACTTGTAGTCTATGCCAGATTTTTAATGACCTGACTAATAAAAATGTTAATTTACACTTAATTCGACATGAGACTATATCGGTGAATCTACACTATTTGATAAATAGAGGAACCCATCATTCATAATTCTGGTCAAAGTTGCAGATCATTTGGCCAGATCTAGAACAACCCAATTTTAAATCTGGTCAAATGATCTGCAAATTTGATTAGGTGATGTAGATTCACATGACAAAATCGTACGTACGTACGTAATAATTTTGATAAAAACGTGATCGCTAAACGATTATTGCCAAAGCACGTATTAGTATGAATTCTATGTCGGATAGGGATGGTAAAGTCAGTCCAGGTCCAGTCTTGGTCCTAAGACCTTTAGGTCCTGCTACAAGGACCCTTGGACTAAGTCCTCGTATAATAAGTCCTAGAACCTAAGTTAGTCTAGGTTTAGTCCAGGACTTGGTCCAAAAACCAGTCCAAAAACTAGTCCCAGGACCTAGGTCAGGCTAGGTTCGGTTCAGGACTTGGTCCAAGAACTAGTCCCAGGACCTAAGTCAGTTTAGGTTCGGTTCAGAGCTTGGTCCAGAACCAGTCCCACAGGCTAGAGTGGGGACGATTATTTATTGCTGCGACTAAGAGAAAAATTCTATGTAATAATATGCTGTTTTTATGTATATAGTACGTATAAAAATATTTCTGTGATTTTCTATGTAGTGATGGTGCAGCACATCGGGAATAAACCTAAATTATCGATCTCAATATGCGAAGGTCTCAATCACTTTGTATAAAAACCATAATCATAAAATGTTCATGAAATCTAAGTTTTCGCGTGTTCCTGCAAACAATATGTACAGTACATAATAGCATGCTACAATGACAAATTTAGTTTATCTACATGAGTTAACTAATCTTTATTCTATACGTATAACAGATAAAGTTTTGGATTTCCTGCACTATACGTACGTACGTATAGTACGTATTTTCTTATTTTCTGCTATGTATTATCTGTCCAAAGCTGCCAATTATGTGATGATATACAATCATGTTTGTAATACAACTGAAAATTTCACGGTTTTATTATTGAGTTAAATCAAATAACGCCTTTAATCTTTGAAACTTTCACAATAGAATAACCGAATAATAAAGAAACCAAATTCCCGACACTATAACAAATATAACCTAAGATAAATGAAACTACTGTATTTAATTTCATAAAAAAAAAAAAATAATAAAAAAATAAACTAATTTCATAAAAAAAAAAAAAAAAAAAAATTAACGCCCGATCTGCATTAATTTTAGATCTTTATTCGCAATATTTTAAAGTTGCATTCACTTCTTTTAATCAGATTTAACCTAGTTAATCACAAATTATAATTAGAAAACAAGAAAATATATTTATTTTTATTATTACTAACCGTTGGCAGAATTTCATTTTCAATCCAGCTTTTAGAACAAAGAGACGTCCTTGATGTTTCTGAATCAAGATAATTTCGGGTCTTTGATATAGTATTTCCTGCTACCGAAAAAGCCTGCTCACAGGCTACACTGGTTGCCTGGATTGACAAATAATCTCTTGCCATACACACTAATGTTGGAAACTCTTTTGCATGTACTTGCCACCATAATAAAGGTGTAATATCTTCAGCACAAGGTAAAGCCAAGTATTGTTCTAGCTCATCAGTGGGCTTTTGCTTTGTTTCAGAAATTCGTCCTGTGTGGCATTGTTTAAGTGCATGAAAGTATTGATGAGCTGTATCAATATCATCTGTAATATAAAGTGGCAGGTGAGTTGAATTGTTAGATCTAAAATATTTCTCTAATTTTATCAATTGCATTAGAGGTTTGTTGTCCAACTTCAAATAGTGAAAGCTTTGTTTGTGGGTCAAGAATAGTTGCAACAGTTGTTGCATTATCGATTATATCCTTATATTCATTAATTTTTTCATTAGTTTGAGTTAGTTAATATATATTGATTAGATTCATTACTTTCTACATAATTATTAAGATATTCTTAAATACTGCCAAATACCAATCGAACATCTGCAATTGTTGGATATAAAGATGCAGATAATAATTTTGTAGCCTTCTCTAATAGTTTCATTAATATAAGTATTTTCTAATTTCAAATATTAAAATTTTTATATTATAAGAACCAAAAAATTAACTTTAACACATTTTATCTTTATTTTTATCCATTCTTCTGCCATAGGTATTAAATTTTGAATTTCATTGTTATTGATAGCTAACATTTGCAAAGCAGTTTTCATTCGATCCAATTTTTTTAGCATATAATACATGCTGTTCTATTTTGTTTAAACGTCTAATTCTGGCTTCAAGTAGTCTAACTTCTGTACAGCACATAGATCTCTTAATTTGTTATAGCCTTGTTGATACTTTAATTTTTGACATTTATTGCACGCACATTAGCAATTTCTTTTCAATAACCTCTAACTCATGACATGCAGCTAGATTTAATATATATGTAGTATATCTATAGTGACAAAAGCTTTGATTATCCAATTCTATTAGTAAGCCACTTGCCAAGACCCACTCACAAACTAGCATAGCTGATTCATTATCAGTAGTAAGAGCCAATATTTTATCCAGAAGATTAAATTCTATTAAGACTCTATTAATTTCAGTTGCTATATTTACTTCTGTGTGATGCATATTAAAGGGAAATATCTAACAAAAATTGATGAAACTTCTATTGATTATCTATATAGTGAATGGTAATTCTGAGGAAAGCTTCATAATTGATAGTTTATATTCACATGTCTGTTGTTAAAGAAACTTTGCCAGGTAAAATATTAATTATATTTACTCTTTGTTTTTTAAAGTAACTAATAACTATATCTTTAGTTTAATGATGATCAGGAACTTTGTAACGTATATCAAATACATTAATCATTTCAATAAATTTTTTATTTTCAATGATGCTAAATGGTTGTTGGTCTACAATCACCCAGGTGATTAAAGCAGTATCATAGTCTTTTCTTTGCTTTTTGGGCCATGGATTAGTATAATTAAATGATAACTTTAATTGATAAGATTTAATTTTTGAGATTTTAATATTATGTTAGTTACTCAAATATTTTTCTAAACTTGAGTTTCCAGTTTTATCTGAGAATTTGGCACTGCATTTTTTGCATATTAGGTTATTAGGCTTTTCGACTTTAAAATCAAAATAAGACCATAAAGATGTAGTTTTCTTGTATTATTAGTTAAGGTTGTTAAAGTTGAAGTCTAACTCTGAGGAGGGAAATGCATTATATATTTTATTTCTATTATAATTATAATAATTAGTGTTTTCGGAATCTATAATGATGAAGCAAACTCTTCCCATAGATCACTTTACCAAATTAGAAACAAGAAGAAAAATTTTCCCACAACATTTTCTCGAAAACTTATTATGTAAATTGATATCCGGCTCTTAAGTAAAGTTATCCAGCACCCCATAAACTACTTAAAGGAGATGCGAAGTTTGTCAAAAGACCTCACCACAACATGTTATTAGCAATAAACACCAAAAACAGCAACAAAGCAGTTTTTTGATCCTTCCACGAAAGCGGTCTTAAGGACCCCCAATATTCATATAATCAAAAAGATAATACAAATAGTGCTTTAAGCAAAAATAATCAGCAACTACAAGTTTTACATCATATTAAGCCCCAAAACTCTAACAAAAACATGGCCTCTGAAAGCTCTTCTTCCTACTAGAATATTTTTTCCCGGAACACCAAGGCTGCCCCATCTGAAGACACTTCTACTATTAGCTCACCACTAGATCCTGGTGTAGAACACACCAAAAAAATTTTAAACATCACTATGAAAGACTGGTCCAAACTCACATTTTCTGTTAGCTTTTTCGTTCCTGAATATGCTGACAACTTCATCTTTTATGTCGATATTACCAAATCTGGAAAGATCTCCAACTTAACCAACTACCCCTCATAGTGGTTATGCAAACACGAAAATCTTGCACAATCAGTTTTGTTTGACCTTACATCTCAAAAAAGTGATATTGTTAACATTAGTACCAAATATCCTAAACCTACCCGAAATAGTGATCTTGTAACAATCACAAACCTATACGAAGCCAGCATGAAACCTTATCTAAAAGCCAAAGGTACAGAAAATTTAGCCTCAATTCCATATAATGCAATTACAAATCTTGATTTAGATAATGAGTCTAACAAAAGCAACAATGAGCAAGTTGT